ACACTTTCAACTATAAAAGCCGCTGGTAATAAATACCATTATAATTGGATAAATATTATAAAATTATTTATAACTTGTGATATTAGTAGGATTGTAATAATTATTAGTAAATAGATTTGTAAATAAGTTAAGTGTTTGCTTTGCGAAAAATGTGAATTAATGCATTTAAAATGCATTCAGTAATATTTGTTTTAGTGTGGTACTTATTATACATGTATAACATTAGGTTTCAGCTTGATATTAATACAATTTTGAGCTTTTATGATATTCATCCAATTTTGTAAGAGCAAAATCTTGTTGAGCGACTTATAAAGCGGTGTTTGGACTTAATTAATAATTCGAATCTATTATTGTCAATGACTGTACATCTGGAGAATAACTCAAAGTGCTTACCCCCAAACATGCCTAAATTGCCTAATTAACAAAAAATAAACTTGGGAACTTATTTATAATATAACATATCAAACGCTACACCACTAGTTATTAAATTCAAGAATACTCTCAATAAACTCACCATAGAAAGATAATGCCTTAATCAAAGATACTCACCATTCTATAGACAAAAGAAAGAATTTGTATAGCCAATTTGTTAATTTGTTTTGAATTTATCGTGAAGTAAAAGAAAAACAACTTTACATGTGTAAATCGAACGTGTAATACATTTATATTATAAAGAGATAAAATTTCACATTTTGTAAATATTAGACATTTCCATACAAACCAGCATGATAGCTGTGTACACGGTAAACACACAATATAAACATTAATACCATTATTATAAAGTGAATATTTGGAGAAACCCATTGTCTTGATTATGCGAGTGTTTGAAGTAGAAATAAACAACTTTTTATATTAAGTCCGTTCAGTTTTTATAAATACTTAACTTTTTATAATTTAAAAAGTATTTGATTTACTTAAAAAAAAGATCAAATAAATAGGGACCAAAAAGACAAAATCAAGTTTACAATTTGTAAAAATATTGTATGATACATACAGAGAATGTAGTCGGATTTAGAATCTTTCATTTTATTAAAGTTAGTTATAAATAATTACAATCGTCTACAATCTATTTTTGAACGTAGGCACAACTGTACACCATTAAAATATCTATCATATTATATTTTATTATTGATTTTCAAATGTCAATATCGCTCTTATTTATATAAAATAAAATCTTAAAAATAAATTATAAAATAATAAATTTATTTCAACTATTTAAGTATTTTGTCACTGTCTTTCAAATTTAAAATTTAGCGTAAAATAAAAAATCAAGATAATTTAATAACTAAAATAGGTATTTAAATATATAAAGACTTTATAAAATTAGAGATTTGTCGACTTTCTGAACCTACCTTTGCTAAGTCTTTAAAAGATTGACCACGTATCCTCTTGCATGTTTTGATTAAACTGTAGACCAAAGTAGGCGCCAGACTTACCCGAGATATCGATCAGCTAGCCCTATACACTTAAAATAATTATACACACAAGGCCTAGGAAAGGGTATAATGATTTAAAATTCAGCAACATTATCTATTCATTGAATAGGACAATTTTCTTCAAGAAATGTTCGAAATATAAAATCGCTATACGATAATCTTGCGATCGATTTCTATTAGGAATAAAAGAAGTTTTCATTCCCATTAAATCTCTTCTAATCATACATTTTTAGTGACAAAAATTATAATATTTGAGTACAAAAACTATATTGTTTTACTAATTCTTTTAGCTTCTCATATATTACTACCTCATATTAATATCAATGCTATTTACCGAATCCTCATGAATTATCATTATGACCGGATTTCTTACAAATATGCACTTATCTACAGTCAGCTTGCTAAATTCACATATTTAACTGTTGACAAACTTAATATACATAAACTCTATATAGTTATAATTAATTTTTAAAATTAGTTTCAATTGTGATTCAATACTAAATAGAGTTATCGAATGTTTAGGATATAAATAATTTAACTACATTTCCAAAATGTTACTAAACAATTTTCACAGTATGTTAATATAATATAATTTTTATGTAGTTTAAGTTTATAATTTAATATTAAAACAAATATAAACTCAATTAGAAAGGGTATGAAAGGGAAATACAGCCTCGCAGATAACGTGGCCATTTTCGGGAGGCAAATCATAAGTCAATACGAGTATATTTATGTAGGCTTTAATGATATAGAAATTAAAAGGTTTTGACATAAAGATAGAATATAAAAACCATGTTCTACCTACGCACTTTTTCTTTATTCTTTTCTATTACTTATCTCTAGATAATTGCAACGGTTAACACTCAAAGCAGGCTATATTACCCTTCCGCACATTAGAAAATATTATTATTATATATATTATTATTACACGTTATTTTTTTTTCGCAGTTTCTTCATAAGTAGGTATGTTTGCATATTAATTGACAAGAAGTTATAATATCAACAACCAATCTATAAAGCATTTGGACTAAATTACTAATAAAAAAATTTGCCATAAGTCCACAATAATTTTACATTTAACTATTACAATATAAAATCTAACTTACCGTAATACTTAAAGTTTATATAAAGAGTATATAGCAATAAGGAAGACATTGATAGCCTGCATAAATTTCTTTATAAATATAGAATACAGTAGTAAAATTATTTTCGATTTTATGCAGTTTTTCTACAATATAATCGCTTTATATTTTATTATTAATTTATGGTTATATTCATAAACCCTCAGATCAGATAATAAGGAGATTTTAGATCAGAAACTAAGTTAAGCCGCTTTGGTGATTTATTGTAACATGGCATGACACGATTGTACCAATACGGCACAATAGAGGACAAAATTATGTGCAGTTGTCTGGAGACAACTTAAAATTCCCTTCGAATTGCATACCTAAGATATTTTCATGCAGTGTACTACGATATCGTTGCGGAAGATTAAATGCATTTCCATACAACTGCACAGATTTTGCTTTCTTTTTATATCGTAAAAATCGCACGATGTTGTGTACTACAATAAATTGTAAAAGCGTGCATTCAATCGGTTTAAATGGAATATTTAATAAAAAAAAATTGTTTTGTATCAGTCACTATGAAACAAAATTGTTAGGACAATTAATGCAAATTGTACATTTGGCATGGATTTAATGGGACTTAAATTAAATAATATGGCCATCCACCTATAAATAGTGCACAGAAACATTCTATTTTTCTTTCTTTAAATACATATATGCAGTGTTTATTTACATTATATGCAAGTAATCATTCTTCTTTAAAAAACTTAATTTTGACAAATTTTAGATTTTAATGTGCGTTAAACAATCAAACGAAATTAATTTAATGTTTATATTATATCTATTAGAAACTTTAAAGTTTTGTATTCACTTGTAATTCTTATTGTTGTGGGTGTATTACAATTCATCGTTGTAACTATATATGCATCCAATATAGGTTATAATTTTTCAATTATTTTTTTATTTACTCGTCTCTGGTATAGCATTAATAAAATTTTGTTGTACCCGTATAATGGAAAAACGAATTTATGATTTGATTTAATTGTCTGATAAATATATGTATATGTATATCTGTACTATTTTTTTACATTATAATATTATTTATAATGCAAATATTTTAAAGAAGCAAAATAATATATATGGTGTAAAGAAGTAATACAGTTCCAGACCATTAATCGAGTTGTAATGTAACAAGTTTAAAAATAATGGCATACTAAACTCAAACTAAAAGGGACAATCCTCCATTTTGTAGAGGAAGAGAACGCTATTCCGCTATTTGAGGTTTCCATTGCTAAGATAATATGTGACGACATCCATAAAAGCGGAAGAAATCTATCTTCCAGAAAGAAATTTATTTATGTATTTTGAAAATTATTTATAATATTAAGAAAAATGTAATGAAAAAAATATAAAAGTGCATAACATTATAATCTAAGATTTTATAAACGACAAAGATAGATGTAGTGTATAATTAACCTATACTGTCTCAAGTATATATACAAGAGGGTAAATTCATCAGAAATATCAGTAGCGGTCAGTATCGTGAAAGCGATGCGTGAGAACAGATGTACCGCAGTATGCGTGTGTGTGATAATTGAGTCTGTGACAACAAGGTAAAAAAATCCTTCATGTACATTATTAGGGTATACATACATATAAAATAATAGAAGAGAAACAACAATAGAATTAATAGGATTATTAAGTTTAGACTCAGGGAGGAGATATTTTTTTTATAAGATAAATGTCTCCAATAAAAAAGAAAAAATTAGTTGATAGTAAAATCAGATAACAATTGACATCTAATTTCCTTATTTTCATGCTCTGAGGTAATTTAAAAAATCACTACAGATATTTTCTTTTTATAGGCCCTATTTAAAATAAAAAAATAAATCACAAAGGAATGAAAAGGCAAGACGAAATAGTTTTCGTAATTTCTGTGAAATGCACCAAAAAATCGCGTTATTTGTAAATAAAGTGAAAATACCAAATGTTAATGAACAGAATAAGTAATTGATATTACTTGTTTTACTTTTATACTAATTAAACTCATGCCTTTTCTTTCTTTTCTCATTGGGTTAAATAAAAAATATTATTAAATTTTCTTATTTTATATCCTTATTTAATTTTTACAAAATGATTTTCAGTTTGAGCTAAATTGCATATGTATTATTACTACAAACTTCTTTCTTTTTTATTTAGGTTAGAGAAAGAATACAGTTGGGCGCCATTTACTTTCTGTAAATTTATTTTAGCAATATTCACGAAATATTTTAGAAATTGAGTTACTTTAAACTGTATGGGTAATATAATTAGATATTGTTATAATTATAATATTACTTTGAAGCTGCATTTGTCATATTGCCATTATTTAAGTGAAAAAAATTATTAAACCTTTTCTTACAAACTCTTCCTTTTCAACTTCAAACAAAAACATTTTTTTTACATTTAAAAGCACTTTATATGTCTAATAAATTATTTTTATTTAAATAAACAAATCTATTTAACTACATTAATCAATGTCGTTTCATAATGTAAGGGTGAAATTAGCGCTACATCAGAGCTGTGATCAAGAGGTTATTTTGTCAGGTTTTATGTTTAACATATCGTCATTTTCGATAATGTGTTGAATTTATCTATAGAGGAACTTCTGCTCGACTTTACCGCTATCTAAATGGCGTCTCTTCCAAGCCATTTGCAGTTACGAGCACAAGTACATATGTCTTTAGACTCCGTCACTTACACAATTTTACTTAGATTAATAGACATAAAATATATTTTCCTAATTTATGCTTTAAGCATCAATCATTTTGATTTAGATAATATAAATATGTAATTTAATTTTATTCATACTTTTTCTATATAGGTAAATGATTATTTAACTGCCAGTACCCGAAATCTCAGGACTGTCACAGAAACACGGATATCATAAAAATATATATTCAATTCAAACACTTAGTAAACAAATCGCCGAAAAGCTTTCCCGATGCACAACATTTATAAATTGTTTACAAATACTCACTCCTAATTATGATATGTTTTGTTACATAATTGCTCCTAAACTTTATAAAAAAAAAACTATAAATTAACTATATTGTATTCGTTACTTAAAAAGCAAAAGCAATATTAATGACAACAATAGTCTATTTTAAATGGCTGAATTACGTAGGTTGTGAAGCTAGCGATTTTGATAACGGTGTAAAATAAATAAAGGCATTTGCAACTAAAAACATTTATAATTTTATCATAAAACAAGATTTCTACATATAAAAATTGAAATTGTACTTATTTTGATAAATCACCTACTTCGCAATAGATATTATTGTTATGTAGGTTTCAAAAATGATATTATCATATCGTCATAAATTGAGCACAATATGAATAGCACATAAAGACCCGAAACAATTTTAGGCACTTTTTGTTTCGGCACATGATTTGAATATACTAACCCGCGGCTGTGCGAATATGAATAATTCTTAGCTTCACCAGAAGGTTCAAATCAATGAAATACGAAGAAAATAGTACCGCGTGGACTGGATATAAAAATAAGAATAACTGATTTATATACATAAACATATTGATGAGGTGAGTTATTTATTTATTTTATTACTAATACGTTTATAAAATAAATTTGTACCGCAAAAGATGGATACAATGTGCTCACATAGTCAGCACCGCCGAATGAACTGAATCGAATATTGCAATTCGTTATTTGAAATACTATGAAATTTCATACATTTATCAAATGAATTTCCTAATTAAAAGATCAGTTTAAATTTCAGCTTTTAGAATTTCGGTATGTATAAATATTCAGTTTTTGCTTCCTTTTTCATAATATCACTTTTGGATATGAAATTTAATAACAATAATGAATTATTATAATGTTATAATTTTATTATTTTTAATAAAAAGAAATTATTTTTAATAAAATAAAAATCATTAGATTAATTCCATTTACGTAACTCAAAAAATCAAATAGCTACTAGACCTTCACAACTCTAAGAATAAGAAATCGAGGGGAAGCGTGGTCATTTTATAAGCTCAAATTATATAAAACGCTCAGAGTTAAAAAGTACTTCAAACATTTCTTTATTACGTTGTACACTCAAGCTGTTTCGCAGGTAGAAATTAACAGTGAGTACAGAAAATATGGTATTAAAAATGTATATCACGTGTGGTGAGTTTTGGATAAGTATGTCATGTAAAATTTCAGAAGAAAATGTACGTGTGGACTACGTTAATAGAGTATTTATAACTATACCTAGTTTTAGCCTGCAGCTTTTCATGAAGTTGAATGTCACAATATATACAAAACTGTAATATATAAAAAGCTACTGAAAAAAAATAAAAAATGTTCTGTTGTTTAAAGAAGTTGCAAGTATGAACATTGCATCAAGAGAAGATTTTATTACCTAATAATAATATCCTATGATATTCAATTGACTGTTTATATTCAATGATTAATTTTTTCATTTTATGTTCTTTTTTTTTATTAACTATTCAAATAGACTTTATTCGGAAACGCACGAAATACTACTACTCTCTAATTAAATTTACCTACTATTCTTTGGTTTTATTTAAATATTTATTTTATGTTGTTACCACATATAATAAATATTGAATATAGGTATAAAACTAATTTCACATTCCATTATTTCAATCCCTACTGTATAATATTTAGGTTTTAATTTTCAAATATTTATTTTCATCATTTCTAGATAACGTGTTCAAATATTTGACTACTGTTAGGTATTCTGTAATGTCGGGATTAATGTTGACATAGAAAATGAATGTTTATGAAAAAAGGTAATCATTATATTTGATATCTGTCTAAATAATCATACAATTATAATGTTTACGAAGCAAGTAAACTTATAAATAATTAAACAAATACCACTTTGTTTAGATTTTTTAAACAAAAAGAAATCTTTCCTCTCATATTTTATTACAGTTTGATATATTAATATGTTTCCAATTTTTCATATACTCGTCCATGTATTTACGGAACAATTTCTTCCTTAAATTTATTAGGCTTTGGCCTAAATTTACACTATAATGGACAAAGGTTTCTAGCAACTGGTTATAGGGCTGTCAACATTAGGTAATTATAAAACCCTAGCATTCTAATTCAGTCTCATTATTGCGCATACACAAGTAAAAGGTCAATGTACAAAGGAGATAAAAAAAGCGTTTTGAAGCTCATCGTATAGTTACTAACTAAATAAACTTTTTTTATAAGTAAAATATTTTAAAAATATTTTTTATTATAAATGTTATTAAAATAATTAAAAAATAAGATTATAATATTAAATGATTCAATTCATCTTATGTCATTAAATTAAAAGTAAAATGATCAATATAATATTTTTATTTTTCTAAACGTTTTTGTTGCCAAATTTTGTCATTAATTTTCTCGAAAAGTTACATCATTAATATTTTCCTGAAGTTTTAATTATAGAGTATATAATCAAACATAATTATTTAAGTGATTTATTACAGATTGATATCTATTAAATTTTTCGATTATTTTTCCTTGTATGCAAGAAAAAATAATTAAGATGTTTTGCGGCTTATAAAACATCCGGTGAAATACAAAAACAATATTTATAAATAGATTTATATACAGTTATTTTGTTTAAATGCATTTAGGTACAATTTGATTTTCTGGCAATATATTTTTGCTAGAAAATTACATTGAAAACATCACCAATTAGTAAATTGACAATAAACTTAATTATATTTCTATTTTGTCATATTTTTCAAGCTCAAAAAAACATTAATACATTTAATATTTTATTGAAAGAGTAATACATTGCCTCCCTCTCACACCTTTATATATTTTAATATGGAACATATGATATACGATAATAATAACAAAATAAGGCTTTGGTTTTAAAAGAAATTATGAATTAATAATACTGCTGAAAACATTTTGCTAATTATAAAGTAATAAAAAAAAATTGAAAAGTAAAAGAATAATTCTAAAATCTACATACCTTCTCAATAATAGGATATGGCAATATTATTGAGTTTTGTATTAATTAAACAACACCAGTGAATTAGAAGCTAAAGTGGCACACCAATAATAATGCTATTAGGACTAAGCGGTGAATTGTACATCGGCACGATGAATTTAGTTCCTCGCTAACAATTTTAACTGGTAACTGCGTGGGCGTCGGCTCGATGCGAACCACGTTTACTGAAAAAGAAAATTTAGTTAAGCAAATTGTTTGTTGAATTACGAAATTCACAAAGTTGTAAGTCCCGTGACCACTGTTGCCATACATGGACATAACGAAGATGGCGACGGCGGTCACGTATGATGGGGTAAGAATACGCTGTTTATAATTCGTTTCACATCCCCGGGATGTCGTAAGAGGTGTAGGGGCGTAAAACACAATACATCAGTGCAGGGTTGCCACATGCGATTTCTGATTTTTATTCAGATGACAAACATTTTCTATGCAAACTTATAAGGACATCATTTTCTTTCTATTTTGCCAAATCACAAATTTATTTCACTGTACTTTCCCATGTAAGAATTATGATTAGAAGTGACGATAAAAAAACACCCTTCTCTACGCACGATTATGAAATTTTATATTGCTTACGATTTCTAAAATACCAGAACTCTCAGAAAAATTATCCAGATTTGTTCCAATCCACATAATGGGTTTTCCAAAAAAAAATACTATTTTATTTCTCCAAAATTTCGTAAATATGAAAATGTTTTTCCAAAATTGCGAAAAAAGGTACCCAACCAGGCAACCATCAAATTAAATAAAACTATCTAACTATGCCGCTAGTTCATCATGCTAATAGTATAAGAATAAATATACTGGTACTGAAAATTGCATCCTTTTTTGTTTTTTTTAATAGCCAATTTTTTATGTATATTACTGATCTTCTTTGTAAATTTTTATTTTAAAATATACGGAAGCTATTCATTGTTATAAGACAATTACTTATTTAATATTCACCGTAAAAACTGAAAAATCTATCATACTCCCAACATGGATCTTCGAGTCGGATTTAATAACTTATGGAAGATTCTATATTTATCCAGAAATGGAGTATTAATTTCCAAGAAATTTCCGCTGGCGTTGTCGTCACCATTTCCACCACATTCTGCAAGGAGTATTAATTGGGTCCATTCTAAAAAGTGTGTTAGTGTAATATATTAATCCCAACGTTCTTCTTTTAGGTATTTTTACAGTGTTTATATTTCAACATTCGACTCAAGTGCGAAAGTGTGGCAGTTTTAAAGGGGCGTTTAAAAGCATCTTCGATTATGTTTATATGTAGAACTAATCGTGACATTGATATTGTTTCATTTTACAGCAATGTCCTCAAATTATACCCTTCTGGCCTTAGACCCCGCACAGGCAGGAAGAATACTTATAAATTTATTCACATTTTAGAAATAATGTTACTGCGACACATTACGATTACGCGAAACATGTGCGATTGTGTGCGACGCATGTTCTCACTACGGTGTCTGTTGCTTGAAAGCCTTGACTTATTTATTTCTCAATATGACAAGGGTTGTCAATACATCAACATATTATTATTAGTAAGTTCATGGAAGTGTCAATTCTACCACAATTTTTATTATTATGGCACCAGCAGGAATATCTATAGAAGATTGTCTTCACCAGAGGGAGACTTTGTACAAAAGTCGATTGCATGGGTACCTCTGTCCCATTCGTGTTTCAACCGTGAAGCAGTTGTGTTACGTTTGCATGGCTGTGTTTCGAAGGGTGGGATATAGCGTGAATTTACAGGGTACAGAGGAATAACATCTGAGTCCTCAGGAATGGCAACGCATGGGGTATCATGGACGAAACAGTATACTCTGTTATGTCCATGGTACTGCTCATGTTTATAGGCGACGGTTACCACTTTCCATCAGGTGGGCCGTTAGCTTGTTTGCCATTCTAAGTTGTATAAAAAAAAAACCATATGTTAAGAAACCTGTGCTTAGCAGAGGGACGTTAAGAGATTTATTATTACTATTACGATAATTATATTCTCGATAAGAATCCTAGATAGAGGTTAATATTTGACTCGACCATCTTATCCTGTCACTAGCTAGTAACATGTAACTACGTCACAAAGGACCTAGAGTAAAAATAGACTACATTTTACATAATTTTAACTAATTTACGACAAATAATGGGCCACCAAGTTTTAGATTTAGTATATTTATTGACGATGTTGGTTATTACTATTATTTGGAGAATTAGAAGCAACAAAATATAAATCTATCTCACTCTATCGCATAATGCCGGCCACGTATTGCTCGTAACTCGTAACTATTTGTGTGCTCCTTATACTCGTAAATATTTTATATTCTATTCGTATTTTTTTCTCATTATCTGTTGAGTTATTGCTTTCTGTTCTATGTCAACAGTTTTGATTGTTACTGAGTATATTTTTTCTGTAATCTATTTAGTTTACTCCCAATAAACTCACATTAATGTTTACATTATTAATATCTGTAATTGGTGTAATTTTAATATATAGGATTCATGTAGTCTGATGGTATAATAATAAGCTCTTAATATTATTTAAAATTATACAAAGAAAAGTAAGTAAATAAAAAGTAAAGTTAAAAGATAAGGTTCTGGCCGGCTAATTACACGTAATGAAATTGTCTAATACAAAAGTTGGAGGATTTGTTAACATTAGAAGAAAGCTCTGTATTTTTTATTTAACCCTTAAAATATATTTCTTTTAAATGTATTCTTATATGGTTGATTTTTTTCTTACTCTCGAAAGATGATGTTTCCTTCTATTTCTATTTTATATATAAGGGTGCAAGCGGTAGACAAAATCGAGTGTTTCGGATGTGTAAAGTGCAATAAAAAACAAAACCATACCATACCATTATGCCCAATAAAAAGCAATCTAGAAATTATTTTAAAAAATAATGAGTCCGTGGGACTGGGTAGCGATTACTTATGCTTGAAATTGCGATGCGTGATCTTAAGAAAGTTTATATATTTTATACGAGTGTGGCGATATTTACGAATAAATTGTTATATTTGTTTATATATGTTACAAAATTGTTTGTTTTTAACAAACAAATTTGTTTTTAAAAGTTTCAATAATACACGTTATATTATATTACAAAAACAATAAATAAATTATTATTACAAATATAAATATTACAAACGTTGTCGTACTTTGTTACGAACGTATTTCGTTATAAACGTACTTCGTTATACATATATTTCGTTATGAAATTTAATTAAAAAAATAAACTTACCAGTAACAGTATGATTTTGAACGTCTGCAAAACCTTCACCTAAGTTGGCGTAGCTGGGAATGGTGCTCAAACATGTTATGTCTATAGTTTGATTGGGGTACAGCTGCAGTGTCGCGAGAGGGAAGTGCAGTGAAGAATTGGTGACCGAAAGTGGCATCCCGTGATGGTGACGGTGGACGTTCACCGTTCCGTGAGGCACCGTCAACCGTTCATCCACCTGAACAAAATATATGGTTTTATTAATTGGTATTATCATGTAAATATCGGCAAAAGGTTGCTCTTATAAAAAAATACCTAAAAAACAAGGATAAAGTCATATCATTATCATCATATCAGTCATTATCTGCCCACTGTTGTAAATAGACCATGGAGGTCGTAGTGTCATTATGGATAGGGCCGTTCCTTATGGCAGTTTACCATGGAGGAGGGGGGGGGAGATTTTGCCAGTAGTTGTCATGATTGGCAGGCAGGTTAACAACCGTAGTTTGGCTTTTGGCGATGTTTTAAGATGCTGCCCGTCCCTCGATCATTATGTTTGCTTAGTCGTCTCTTACGACACCTACGGAAAAAAGCGGCCAGGCCATCGGAAAGCGCTGGCCTGGAAATTAAGAAAGAATGGAATCAAGTTTTATGAGTACAGTAAAAATTAAATTAATTTTAAATTTTAACTAACTCTCCGGCAGTAGAACTGATCCAATAAGAAACCAAGTTAATCTGAGTAGTGGCAGTAAGCTTACCCTATGCTACGTTGGATTCTAATACAATGTGCGAATATTATACTTAATATGTACAGCAGATATATTTTCTTTGATAGATGCTATTTTTCTTTGGTAATGGAATGGTAACCCCACCCATACTATTGGTATACGCTGGTGAAGTACCAGTAAAAGATGACATGCGAGGACGGAAATAAGCTAGATAACCCGTTGTGATGAATTTGTTTTAATTAATCATGATGGTTTCCATGAGGGCCACGTGGAGGTGGATCTACTAGAGTATATTACTAGGAATGGGGCCGCCGAATCTTATTACTAATAATCCCTTCCTGCGCAGCAGATACTATAACAGTAGTCAATATCCAAGACTATTATCTAATATATAAAATTCTCGTGTCACGGTGTTTGTTACCAAACTCCTCCGAAACGACTTTACCGATTTTTATGAAATTTTGTGTGCATATTGGGTAGGTCTGAGAATCGACCAACATCTATTTTTCATACCTCTCAATGATAAGGGTGACCCTCCCCAAAAATTTATTATTTTATTTTTTGACAAATTTTTCTATTTTTATTTTATTATGATTTAGCATTGAAAAATATATACAACCTCAAATTTTCACCGTTTTACAATCAAATCCTGTTTTTTAATCGCGATTTTATATTCCGCAATAGGGTTGCAAGATGGCAATCCAATATAATAATTGTAGTACGATAAATTTTCATGTATAGTTCTAAAAATAATGTATATGGTAAAACAACGTTTGCCGAGTCAGCTAGTAATTATTATAAATATCAGTTCGGAACTTTACATATATACTTATCCATTATCGGGATTATTATGTTTCACATATTAATTGTGTATTTGTGTGTACGTGCGTGCGTGCGTACGTGCTTGCGTGCATGTGTGCGTGCTTGTATGTGTGCGTGCGTGCGTTCGTACGTGCATGCTTGCGTGCGTGTGTGTGTGCATGCGTAAGTGCGTGCGTGCGTGCGTGCGTGCATGCGTACATGCGTACGTGCATGTGTGCGTGCGTGCTTGCGTGTTTGCGTGCGTGCGTGCGTGCGTGCGTTCGAGTGTGCGTGTGCGTGTGCGTGTGTATCCGTGCTTAAGTGCAATGACTATTCATGATTACTGAAACTATTGTTAAAAAATCTGGCTTATTCCACGAAATAAGGTACATTGTTTGATCGAGTTAAAAAGAGACTGTATCTATATCATATATAATATTGATTAATGGTTTCTGATCATTCTATAAGTTTAATTTATAATGAGTCATTCATTTCGATCAGTTACTATTTCGGTATTAATAAATCAATATCTATTTTATAATTTGGGTGTGTAAATTACAATAGTTCTTAATTACTAATTCTGCGTATTGAGTTACGAGGCATCAGCCATGTTAGATATGGAGAAATTTAGTACAAAAACTTTTTTATGCAAGGAGAGTTACAGGTGTTAATGTAAGTGCCGAAAACTAAAACATACTGTTTACATAGTATATTTTTTTCCACGATATTATTAAAGATAGTGCATAGTTTGGATTTAAGAATAAATATTTTTATTCGAACATTTACTAAGAATACTTTTCAAAATTTCAAATATTTGTTGAATAAATTTAAAAAAGGAAGCTAGTAGAAGTTTTGAATCCAAGTCTTTCTGAAGTTTACCTTTATTGCCATTTTTAATTTAGGAATTTTAGAAGTACTTCTATAATTGTAAAATTAGATGACTTTTAATCTGAAAAACTCTCTAGCCTACAAGATAGTATGAAAAACCTTTATAATTATTACGATGAAAGTTCTAGATTTTTCTTCGCTATAATATGTTGTGTACAAAAAAATAGATATACAATTTAAATAAACTATTGAATCGATGTCTAGTATATATAATTTTCCTTATTATTCTTTCAATTTATTATCGATCAAAAGAAAGTTTTACCTATCAAAACAATATACATACTTTATGAGATAGCGCGCACAAAAACGAATGACAAGCGTTATTCGTTTTTAGGATTTCATGTAAAAGTATCATCAATATAACAATGTGGTAATGCCCTACGATGGGGACATTACCCATAAGGGCATAAATAATTATATCTACATAGATATACTATTGGAATTTTCTGAACTTACTGTGTTTGTTGTTACAATTATAACTATATTTTTAATAAATTAAAGTTGAATGGTAACTCCAATTTTGTTATTACTTTATGTTCGTGGGGTCTCCGTGAGCGATAACAAATGAGGATAAAATCAGATTAGTTAGCACATGATATCGATTTTATCAGAAAAAAATGATGTTGGTTTTCAAGGGAGGTCGAGTGAAGGTCAACTTGACCAGACGTATTGCTAGAACTTCATAACTAACAAACCGCTTCTCACTGGTGAACATTCACTTTCATGAATTCATTTGCAGTCTGGGCACTAAACGGTCAATACTAGACACCGAGAAGCGATCTATTAATTTGTCTGACAATGCCTTGTTTAGAGGTAAAACACGTATCACAACTATGCGTGGATTGAATAAAGGTCGAAGATTGATAACTAACACGGAATATTGTAGAATTTCTAGTAATAATAACCAACCAATCCTTAAACGTTAGCAGTTGTACGAATACTAACAGTAGCGGAATAAAATAAAATAATTTTAATTGACTAACCAATGATCTGCGCTTCCACAAAATGACACCTAGTTTAGTAAAAAAATCCATTTCTCTCCCAAACGGAGTACATCAGCTTACTAATAAACGAATTTACCTCAGTTAGCCCAACGTAATGAATGTACCAGAATTGAATGATGATGGGTTTCAAGGGGGATCGAGTGAAGGTCAATCAGACAGGCTGTATTGCTAGTAATATAGTCATTAGAATTTCATTACTGATAATCCATTCCTTATCCAGATGGGATATTGATATATCCCATCTGTAGTAAGCTGTCTGTAGTAGGGTGTAGTAGTAAGTTGATGCTTACTAAGAAACGAAGGCACCTACCTTTTTTTATTAATACTATTAGTGATATTTATGGTAAATTATTACATCTCTACGGTTATTCATTGTGTAGGTAATTTTTTACATTTTTTTTTTTCAATCTAAGCAAAAGCAAAACAACTGAATAATGTATGATGTGTTAAGTAGATCTGTCACAAGTTTTGAGGAGGGTTGGTGATGTTTACCTTTCATATCTACCATTTTTACTTACGGTTTCCTCTAATACAATACCCAGCTTTGATCATCTGGTATGTTTTCATGCCTGGTCATTGAATATGTCTATTCTCATATATACTGTTTGGGTCCAAGATGAATATTCTGGGGGTGGGGGGAGGGATTTTTAGTTTTGGAGTTTTAGTTCCCATTGCTAGTAATACTCACAATTGCTAATATAACCTTGCCAGATTAACTTCCATGCGGTCTTTACTAAAAATTATCGTAGTTAGTTCCTAGTAAATTTGCTACGATGGGTTAACTGACTAGACTTCATTCTTATCATTTCATTCTCCATTGGTACCCCGCCATTGTGTTAGATAGATAAACAGATCCAACAACAATAAAAGATAATAATTACAGTTAAAGTAACTGTTGATATTAATTGAATTAATATATGCAAAAATTAATCTCTCGTTTGACTAGACTGATATTAAATGACTCTTGTATTTAACTTTCACTTTCATACGTCACCCCCCCACTTCTTTTCGAGCGATACTTCTAAGCGCTAGAGAGCAGACTTGTATTGACTTCCTAGTAGCACATTAGAAAACGCAGCGACTGGTCGTTTTCGACCCCTAGGTAACGCACTGTGCGCTTCCATTAAATGGGTGACCCACGGAGTTGTACAGGCGGCGGAAAAACTCTCTGAGGGCGAGTCCGTCGTCCGGCGCGACCGTCTTCCCCAAGTTGACGGTGGTGCACCACTTATTGAGCCACTCAGGGAGGGCGCCCTCCCTCAAGGAGCTCGTTCCTCAAGGTGGGGATGTCGTCCGTGTACATCGTGTAGAGCGCTGGCGATATGTAGCTGCCCTGCGGTATTCCGGCGGCAATCGGTTGGATGGCAGAGTTCACTCTCTCGACCGAAATATAAAAGCTTCAGCCGCGTAAAAAGTTAACTACCTATTCAGGCAGCCATTTAACTCTCTTTTAGGATGCAAAACTTAATATATTGAAAAAAAAAATAAGGAAAACTAAAACCAAAATTAAAAAAGTGCAAATTTCGAATACAAAATTATCATAATCGACATCGACAGTATCATTATAACAAAAAAATAAAGCGACAGTTCCTCAGTTGTTTGGTACAAGTGGATGCCTAAATTATCCCTTAAAAAAAAGAAAACTCAATATTTATTTATTTATTCTTTATTGCACAATAAAACTTTGTACTCTCGAGATTTGCGTTTAGTAACACATTTAGCGATTTATTTTTATATTATAGATAAATTCACAAAATACGCATAATGCTATTTCCTTATTATTTCAATCTATTTCAAGTGACAAGGTTAATGCCATTCTCTACCAGCTAACCATTAGGTAAAAACAGAAACCACATGAAGGGCAGATGTAGTGAAAAATATGTGACACATTATAGCAACATACATATATATATATATATATATATATATATATATATATATATATATATATATATATATATATATATATATAAATCAAGTTCAAGTTATTAATGTTAAGTTATCAATGTTCAAGTGTTAGTGGAGAGGTTCCGGGAAAGTAAAACAATTTAGTGACGTGGCACGGCGTGTTTTATAACTTTTATTTTTTGACATAATCTAATTGTTCACTTATTAACTTTTTGTTTCTTGTTTTATCTTACTAGCTCACTCGGCGTCCCGAATAGCATTTGTATCCCACATAAAACTGACTTTAATTGTGGCGAACCCAGAAAATTTTCTTTTAAATAAAAAAAAATAAAATTTTAGAACTGATGGAGTTATGAGGTAATTTTTTTAATGGGTGATAATGGAATGGTAACCCGCCCGCGCTATTGGAATACACCGGCGGCGCACCAGTGAACGATGATAGGTGAGGATGAGGTGCTCATAGGCGGCGGTAGTCGCTTACCATCAGGTGAGCTGCATGCTTGTTTGCCATTATATTATTTCAATCATTATAAAATTACTATCCATTGTGAAAAGATATTTAAAACGAGTTTAGGACATACTACGTAAGCTTATAATTTAGAATAAATACAGACGAATTGAAATAGTCTATTTTATTAGTAGGAATTCGCTTAGAACATAATGTACGAAACTTACTACTCAAAAACATAATGAAATGTTTAATATGAGAGAAATTTCACATTAAATTTGTAGTATAATGTAAAATTTCTCTCATGTTAAACGTTTCATTATATTTTTGAGTGTTAAAAGCACTACATTCACAAACTTTTAACGTTTCACGTAACAAAGGTTTATTTCGTAAAATTTTCATTTAACCCTTACAACGTTTAAAGGCTAAAAGTTAAACATGACGGCCACGCTCATAGTGGAATTGCCTTATTTAAAGTACTTCAATAAAAAATAAATATTTGAGTGCAAGATTTACTTTGTAATAAATAATACCTACATTGTTAGTAAAACAAAAAAAAAAAAAGAAAAATAATCATATATTTTCATTATTAACTTGCAATATTGCTCACGTGAATATATATTATAAAGTATCTTGTATTAAGTTAGGATATAACCTAGTCATCTACCAAATTTCATTCAAATTCATTTAGCCGCTTAAGTGTAATTATGTAAGAAACGTACATCTATTTTTACAAACTTTCATATTATATCTAGGATTAAACTGAAATCGTAATATTTATTTTTCATTTTTCAATTTAACTGTCATGTCTTAAAATCATTAAGTTTCTGATCTAGGTAGAATATTCATATATTTTAATATTTATTATATAAGTAAGTAGGTTTATGTAATATTCCAATATACATTAATATTTCATTTAACTGTCTATTTGTATCAATTTGTATCGAAGACGTTGTTCGTATAGCACTCATGCATTTTAAATGCCCGCTATGTGCTTTCTCACTGTATTGAGTTGGCTGGAAGAAATTTCTTTCAGAGATGAGTCCATCCTTGCTCATAATATATATAAATGTTTTATCTATATAATTTACAAGTGCAATAAAGAGTTTTATTTTCATACATCAAAGATTAATCTGTGTCTTTGATTTTCCTACTTCTGAAATCTACACGTATGAAAGAGCTAGTTTTATTTATTTTTTTTTTTATTTATTAAAACTTTAATGCACAGTAAAATTCTATGTACGAGTACATTTGGCGGGCTTGACACCGGACGGTGTTTTCTACCAGTCAATCATTGGGCAAACCGAGAAATAAGTAGACAGTGCATTTTTGAATAAAGGAAAAATAAAGCAATACTTAATAAATTCATATAATATAAACATACACATAATATAATATATTATATATATATATATATATATATATATATATATATATATATATATATATATACATACACATACATACACTAAATATTATACATACATGAATAAATACATAAAATATTACAATATAAAACAAATAAATAAAATAACTGCAATAGAAGAGCAAATAGTAATCTATTACTCAAACAGAGTAACCATCAGGAGAAGCTTAAAGGGAAAGTGATTTTTCTAAGAAATAGGTGCGAAATTTGTGTTTAAAAGCTGGTTTGCTTAGGGTAGATCTTATGTCAAGCGAGAGTGAGTTCCAGTGTTTAATAGCTTGAACAGTGAAGGAATAAGATTAACTTAGAAGGTGAAGATAATATTTTAAAATAAAAAAAAAAGAATTGCTGAAAAACCAAAAAATATCATTTTAATATTTTTTATTTTACTTTTGATAAGGTTTATTTCTATGTTGGTCAATAGCCAAATAACATAGAACAAACAATAGATAAATTTCACCAACTTATGCCATTGTTGTGAACGTAACACGCAACATGCCTGCGTTTCACTATATTGGAAAACACTGTGACAGCTCGGGTGCGAGCTCACTGTCGTTTTTCTAATTAATTATTTTTAGTAATGAACGTTGTTTATTACTATTGGACAGTTGATTAAATTGTTCAATTTTGGTGTTGTTCGATCGTCAGTCGACATCTTTATCATTCACATGTAACATTTTAGATATTTATTTATTTTGCACTTTATTTCACTATATATAAGATACTCAATATAGTTAATTTTAATGAGAAATGATACGAAAAGCGGTCTTGTCGCTAAGAAATCTCGTCCAGACATCTTTATTATATATATGTTAGTTTTTCTTTTATATATTTAAATAATTTTATTAACCATTCTCTATCAAAGTGAATCGCGAACTCTACTTTTCCTTGTTAGGATATGTTTTATGATGGTTTTATTTCAATATTTTAAATTATAATAAAACTAAAAAAAAAACATACCATTATTTACCTATACTTATAATCAATTGTACATTTAGATTTATCATCATCAGCATCATATCAACCTTTATCCGTCCACTGCTGAATATAAGCCTACCCTGTGGAGGGATTTTCTCAGTAGTTGCCATGCTTGGCAGGCGGATTGGCGACCGAAATAAGGCTTTAGAGATGTTTTAAGAGGAACATTACTGCCCATCCCTCGCTGTCTGTCCCTTAGTCGACTTTTACGACACCCACGGGAAAGGAAGGGATGGCCTATTCTATGCCGGGACCACACGGACAATTTTTATTACGACACAACATTTTATTTTGTAAACATAAATGTTGTGTCTGTGTGTGATTGTAAATAAATAAATAATTTTCGAGTCTTATATAAATTAATTCACAGTTAATTCTTGTATATTATAAGAATCTGGTATTGTTAAAGGGATTTATATCTCAGTCTTTTGATCAAAACTGTAATTATTATTATATCAGCCCTTAACTGCCTACTGCTGAACACAGGTCTTCCTTGTAAGGCTGATTGTCAACCGCAATAAGGATTTCATGACATTTTAAGAGAGATGCTGCTACTCATCTTTTGACCATTAAGTTCCCTCAGTTGCCTCTTATAACAGGAAAAGAATGGGTAGTTTATTCTACGCCGGAATCATACGACGGTATGATCAAAATGGTAACAAACTTAATTAATTTGTTGGATCAAGTTTACCATCATGTTTACAGTGGACTTAAGACGCCGTACAGTTTGCAGTGCATACACAAGCAAACTTATTATGCATACGGATAGCCATGCAATATCAAGTTTAATGGACGCTGCTTCAAGCAGGCCACAAACTTTACGCTAAACTTGAGCGCTTTAAGATTCGTATTACATGATTTTTTTAAGTGAATTAGTATGGCAAACAAGCTGACGGCCCATTTTATGAAAAGTGGTAACCGTCGCCTATAGACATGAACAGTGACACGGATATAACAGAGTGTATTGTGCCACCCATAATATCTTTCATGTGTTATCATTCCTATGGACTTAGGTGTTATGCTTCTTACACTGTAATTTCATTTCCATATCCAACCAATCAAACCGAATTATCTAATGATGATTTATAAGAGACAGAAATTAAGCAGATCATCTTTACATATAATAAATTTGTAACTAGCCGACTAAATGTAAACATTTAGTGTGTTCGTGACCACGGATGGTGTAATTTGGTTAAATGCCGAGATAACCCTATTAATCTCGCATTAATTCCCATCTTATAAATCACTTATTGTGAATGGCCATTGTTAAGGATTTTGACCAGTTCGCTATCTACCACTTTCGATTTGAAATTGATCCACCATATACGCGCATATTAAGTAATTAATTTAAAATTACTCTTTTAGGTGCAATCTTGCGAAAGTATATATCACAAGTTATTTGATTACAATTATTTTGTTTAATTCCGCTATTATTAACCAAAGATTAACCATCACTATTACTACTAGAAGTGTCACAACTTTCAATATTAACCATCAATCTCCTACTGCTATTTAATTCACGCACGTTTTGTGACATGTGTTTTACCTTTAAACGAGGCATCTTCAGCAAAAGATATTAGATTTGGCATCCAAACTGCGAAAAACGAACGAATAATAATGCCGAACGGTTAACACTAGGCTTCGAGCAGCGATCTAATAATTTGCGTGAACAAAATAGCAGTCAGAGATTGTTAGCTAATATAGAAAAGTGTAAAATTTCTGGTAGTAATAGTGATGGTCAATTATTGAGTGTTATCAGTTACACATATACGGTAGCGGAATTAGACACAGTAATTCTAATTAAATAGCCAGTTATAATTACTTACAATTGTCAAAAGCAATAAATATTATAACTTGATTTGTGTTAGATTCAGTAGGTACTTTTTGGTACGCTCAATTACCAAAAGGAGTAACGTAACATTAAAATATTTCACATTTAATAATCAGGAACCGAAGTTTCATATAAACCGTGTTCCATTTATAAAATCTGCCGGTTGGCAGAATTAGCATAAAATATTCATGTAATGGGTACGTACCTTCATATTATTTATAAACCAGGTGAGGTGGGGTGCGGGGTGAGCGGGGGCACTCTGACACGTCGCTTCCAGGTGGTCGTTGGACGAGAGCTTTTTGTGTCTTATTTTTATTTTCGGACGGTGTTTCTGGCGAACTGTAATTTTAATTTAGAATTTAGAATGCTATTATTGATCTCCGTAAACAATTATCTAGATTGATGATCCGACAAAGTTTTTAACTATATATACGAGGTAAAGTATATATATATATATATATATATATATATATATATATATATATATACATTTTTATGGACTTCATCTTGTTGCAAGTGGTAACATTAAGAAAAAAGAAACATTATTATTTTATCTATGGTATTACGAGTGCCATTGAGACTTTTTACTTCAGTATATTTTCTATTAAATACCTTTGTTGACTACACAGATCGTGTACAATGTCTTAGTAAGGATCGTCTATTCAGTTTTTTTTCCGGACAGACCTCCTATATATATATATATATATATATATGTGATTATATACCATATATATATATATATATATATGAGTATATATATTTATATAAAATTTCCACATATATATATATATATATATATATATATATATATATATATATATATATATATATATATATATATATATATATATATGTTAAAATAGAACGAACTACAGTTATAAATATATTAATTAGATAAATAAAGAGTTATTATTTTTTTTCAAAAGATTACATTAGTAAACGTATTATAAATACAAACAATTACAAAAAAGGTTATACTAAGAAAACAATGGGCGAACTTATCGCTAAAGTGATCACTTTCAATCAGATCAATATATTTCAAAATTTTATAGAATATTAAACTTGATGATTAAAAATAATTGTCACGTACCAATAACACTCAATTCATGTATTTTAGATACTTTTGAGTATAACGGTGTTTCTAAAGCTATCTCGCAGGCGTAGGGTCCAGATGCTGAGAAATCCATCCTCTCTAGCGTTATTGAAGTAGGCGACAATTGGAACAGCTGAAAAAGAAGACGTGTTCTATAGATATTTTTATGCACGCATAAACAAAGTATGGGACCAACTACCAGCAGTAGTATCGAATAGATACGATAATAAAACCTTTAAGAAAAGAGTTTATTCCTGCTTAAAATTCTGGTAACACACCTACAATTTATCTGATGTTGCAGGTGCCTATGGGAGGTGGTAATCACTTACCATCAGGTGAACCGCATGCTCGTTTATTCCATAAGTTATAAAACAAGATAACATATATTTTTACAAAGTACAACACGTTTAGAAAACAGTTATGACAGTTATGACACAAATAAGTAATTTTATATTATTCAGCGTTTATTAAATATAATCACAGTTGAAACGGAAGGGAAATGTTACCATATATCGTAGTACAATTTGCCTCAAATTATTTGTGTTGCCATATAAAATTTACAAAAATAACAAAAATAACATGATTAGTTTCTCAACAATGACAATAGAAAATGTTGTCAAATGTCTCTCATTAGCCCATTAGTCGTGAACACATTTATTTTAGTTATTTATTATCTAGTTTATTTTCCTTTTGCAATAAATAAAAGTACATCTTTTATCATAACAAACCAACATGATAGTAAACATTTGATTGAAATTGTCTTTTTTTGTAAAACAAAATCTTAAACTATTTTGAAGTAATAAACGATCACGCTTGAGTATGCTAGGTGTCAACGATTAGAGTCTATATCCTACTATTGCGCTCAAAAATGTCACTGCTGTGTAAAACTATATATCTGGATAAAGTCAAAATATTGTCGAAAACTACAACCATAGTAAAGATACAATATTCTTTTTATACGTATATAAGTTCTCCGTTATATATGTTGTGATTTGTAAGTCAATATCGATACGTACGTGTAATTGTTTATCTGCAACAATTTTCATTTTTTCACAGCATAATTACATTTCTGTTTCGCTAAAGGTTGTCTGGGAGAGAATGCTGTATAGTATTAAGTCCGCTTTTTGTATCAGTATTTTTTTTGTATTGTAGTCAACAAAGAATTAAAAAAAAATTACATTATGTATAAAAAATTGATTATGAAGAAAATATTTAATGCAGTAATATTCTAAGTGCATAAAGTAACCTGTCGAGATTTGTTTGCCATTTATCTAATACAGCAGGCTACGTCAAAGACTTGGCATTACCAATTAAAAAAAAACATTACCCTCATTTTTGACAATAGGTTATAAACATCGATCATTGACGAGGTAAGATCTATATCTCGACGACTTATCACACACATTACGGGTTGAATCGTAAAGAAAGTTGTAGTGTTAGGTATATTTTTAGCGATAGTTTTTTTTGTTACATAAATGGAAGTAGATATCACCTAAAAATAATATGTTTTAGAGTTTGTATAGCGGTATAGAATTTCTATCTATACGCCGACAGTGACGCGGGTAGCGGAATATCAGATAAAATCGTTGTCCGGCACATCAATATAGCCGATGGAAATTCTCGCACGTGTAACATGAACCTTATATCTTATACATAACATTAGACAGGAATCCATTATACCGGGTAATATAGACAATATGTTAGTAAATTATTAACTAGGTAATGCTTTAATTACCTATTTTTAGGTTGGTAGCTGATATATGATTCATATTAAAATCTCATTAATATTATAAATGCGAAAGTTTGCAAAGATCGATCGATGGATAGATGTTTGTTACTCATTCACACAAAAAGTTTTGAATGGATTGGAAAGAAATTTGGTATTTAGGTAATTAAAGTCTTCGTGCTTAATATGATTATGTCAGTATAAAAGTATTGATTCATAAAATGTGCAAACGCGAGCGAACAGACAATTAGTAACCGTACAGTGTGGTGGCATACCGTATGACATACAATAATTATTATTTATCAGTGATTAAGAACTTTATATATATTATATAAATTTATATATATTTTTCATATAATTTATAGTTAATTACTAATTAAACATATCTATTTTCATGATATGTTAGTAGGCTAAAAGAATTCAATGCTTCGACCTTTGTTTTTGCAAACATCTTTTGCTTCATCCACTTTTGTAACTAAGTTATACAAACTCTTGATTGACACCTCCATTGCTCAGTATGAAATCTATCTTCTTATCACAATCAAATAGGTATCATACATTTTTATATATTAAAATTCAGTATACAGAATGTGATCAGATACTTTTTTTCTCACGGTTGATAAGTAAATAGCCAAGTAATATGTCAGTACAAAGTTTAGTTAGGATTATGATCGTACGATTTCTTAACTTCAAAGATATTTAAACGGTTTATTCGAAAATCGAGCCATAGCGTAGTGACGATAGGATTTTATGGTCCGCGTATCCCTATAACTAATACCGGAAAAAGATAACGGGCGCCCACCGTAAGCGCTGGTTAGTTCTTAGGTGCAAAAAACCAAAAATGATTCTCGGATCATTCTAATGAAATGAATGTCTCTATTTATTTCCCCAAAATGTTCACTTAATAGTATAAAAAGTAACTTATTTTAATGGATATTAGTGGAATGGTTGCCAACGTGCTTTATCGGTATACATTGACGGTGTATCAGTGGTGATAGGTAAGGATGTAGGCGGGTCAATTAGCCCATAGTGACGAATATATTTGTTACTTCTTGGAGCTTTATTGGCTCAACCAATTGTCATGTATAAATACGCGTTTTATATGGGACAGAGAAGAATATAGACTACTTTAATTTAAAAAAAAATAATCAATATAATCAATAATTTCTAGAAAAAAAAGTGGTATTGTATTTTAATTACAGAAAACAGTATATGTATTAGAGTATAGTTGGGATTGTGACGTGTTCTGGAGCAGCGACTCGGTTTGGCAAGCGTGTTAGTATATATTAGTAGTAGTCAGTATGGGATGATCTGTGGCTATGCCAAATGATGATAATGGTAAATGAATGGTAGCTGTAATAACTGGAAGTCGAATATCGCTTTCAGTAGCGTGCTTCGGGAGTAGATTTTTTTAATTGTGAAGATGGAACGGTAACGTTATCTGTGCTATTGGTAGTACGAGTATATACTGATATAGATATCAGTGAGTGATTATGTAAGCAGCTCAACTGGCCCTCCGTGACGAATTTATCAGGAATAAGCCACAAGGGAGCATCGCGTAGAGGTGGATTTGACAAGGATATTGTTAGTAATAGTTTCTTTATTTTGGATCACTATCAATTCGTGTCGATATAAGTATAGACTAGAAATCCTATACTTAGAAATCTATGATAGTAAAAGATAATGCCAGTTCATATATCTCTGTCTACCTCTAGCTGTATTGAACCCGCAATAGTGCATTGCGTTGCAGTCCCTCGGGAGTGAACAGTTTGGCTTCTCTACAATTACCTGTACTGATACTGTTAATGTATAGACTCTATTACTAACAATAATCTTCTAACCCTCTCAGGAGTGATTTATACTCAGCAGTATAGTAACAATGATGATGATATGTCTATCATATACATATTTCATAAAAACTTTATTTTAGATCTGTCACCAGTTTAGGATATTCGTCTTAAAAATATTGATTAATACCTTACAGTTATCGTACTTATTCCGAGATGCATTCTGATATCTAGCAACAAACGATACTATGTTTATTACTTCAATAAATCTCTATAGCAATACATAGTAAATATTTAAAATTTACTTAAAAATCTTGCCAAGTTGCAGCTAAAAGGCGACATCCAGACGTGTATTTACATATTTATGTGCATATGACGGATGTGGTTTCAAATTCAAATATAGATGACACATGAGAAAATTTTATATATTTATGTAAATAACTAGTTTGACACCTAACGGATTCTACGTCATGTGAATCGATAAATTTCATTAAATATTCTTAATATTATTTATAGTATAGACTAGCGATTTGCCCTGGATTTGCACAGGTAAATAGAGTTTTGTAAAATAATATGTACATAGTCTATGTTACTATATGCTGATAATGTAACTTTCTAGGTAAAAGACTTTAGAACTAGTTGAATAATTTTGTAAACAAGCAATAAAATCTTTCCTCTATATAATATTAGTATATGGTAAATAACCTATATAATTTTAATTTAATTATTTTTTTAATATTTAATTGTAATATAATAATCGCAGTGTGGTCCTGGCATATAATGGGCCATCTCTTTCGTGTCGTAAGAGGCGACTAAGAGAACTAAATGGTCAAGGGATGCGCAGCAGCGTCTCTCTTAAAACGTCACCAAAACCCAACTGCGGTTGTCAATCCGCATGCCAAGAACTGCTGACGAAATCTCCATTATGGAGGAGACCTATGTTCAGCAGTAGACAATTACAACTGATGATGATGACAGAAACAATAATAATACTTGAAGGTCAACCCAATAAAAATATATAATATTTGTCTTATACTAGAAGCTAATCCTTATTCAAATGCGAATGAAAATTATATATTATCTGTATGAATCTTATGTTATCTGTAGAATATAGTTTAAAAGAAAATTTCACATCCTAAGTAATCAGAGTCAGTTTTATAATAACTTGGAGTTATCTCGTTATTCTCAATCTCTCAGTATCTTATTTCGCTAATCCATACGGTACGAAACATTTTCTTGCGCCATTTTCAATTATATATTTCAACAACTTTGGATTGTATTGTGAAGTTATTGCAAAAAGTTTATAATCCGTTTCATTCCGATATACTTTTGAAAATTTGAACTTTTTTATACGTATCCAGTCGAATTTTGTACGTATCGGATTCGTTAGAGAGAAATGAATTGTATTATGATTCATTTATAGCAGTTTTTTTTTAATTCTCAAAGACTGGTATAAATATAATACATGTCTTTTTTCAAGAATAAAATATACGTAGCGATTATGAACAATGTTGTCGCCTCTACCCTACTTTATTTCAGAGCAATATATAATAATAATGCGAAGAAAATAGGTATAATAAACAAATTTAGCTGTTGGAACATCTGTTAATTGCTTAATTT